CATATACAATGGATGAATTAAAATGATCTCTTCTTGTGGTGTACTAAAGATAATATAGTGATAGAATTGGACTAGCAATCGAGTGCATCTTAGTTGAATACTCAAAAAATATCGCTAACTTGCCTCCCTATTTACAATACCCCACGTTCTATGACATATAGAGTACGAGATTCACGACCAAAATTAGATGTGCAAGCAAGAATATAGATCTATAGACAAGACTCTAGTATTTTCGTAGAATTACTATAACAGCGTCACTGTCAGTGAGTACGCAGTACAAAGTCACATTGTTATAGTAAAACCAATTATCGGCTTTTCCTAGTTGTGTACTGTCTCGAGACCAGCATTTGTTACTCTATACCTAGTAATCATTAATGCATCCATTAATTTACTCAGTGGTTCCCTGATACATCAGTAATACTTCGCAAAGACAGTAACTGCACTCTACTTCTGCAATATGTCATTTATGATCCTCTGCCTGTTTAGAGGTTGTTTCGCACATCAGGAGTGTAATGCTTATTGAACTTCTTTGTCACAGTAGATAAATGAGTATTTTGCCTGTGTCATGGGATGAAGCCAAGGATATGGAACTACACCGTGAACGAAACACTCTTCAATAATCTGTATTACTGAGTCGCTTATGAGTCACTAATGTAAGACCGTTGTGAAGTAAGGGATGTAGTGACAAACAGACTCAATTAATTTGCTTCTAAACCCAAAATGGTTAGTGATTTCAGTAGCCTCACATTTGAGTTTCACGCAAATGTATCATCACTGCATAATAGAAAGCCGATCTTATTATTACAAAGGATGTGGTTTTTCTAACTACTATTACGCTTTGTTTTTTTCCATGACAAAATGAAATGTTTCTTTGATTTGAAACTTAGGGACCATTCTTTCATAGAAATCTCAAAAAAAGACCCCCCCCTCCCAAAAAAAAAACAAAATAAAAAAAAGAAAAATACTTCATTACGTGTGTTGCTTATGTAACCAGAAGTCGACTCTTTATATACTCACTGCTGTCATGTTGCAGTAGTTTATTTGTACGTAAATAGCTACGTTCAAAAAGTGTTGTTTAAAAATATTAACTTAAAAAATTATGACCATGATCACAGATATACTAGATTAAAGATACACAGTCATCTGCTGATCAGATGTTCATTCCAGGTGAATCGTACGTAACAATCCATGTTTTCGTAATTAAAAATTAGGTACCAGTTTGTGCGTGACGTTCTCCTCATCTTCCTGCTGGTCCTGTGATCTTCATAATACTTCTGTTATATGTTTTTTTGTCTACCTATATCATATGTTAATGGAAATCATTAGATGTTAACCTTACGAAACATGAGTCAATTCTTCATACACTTTTAAATTTATAAGAAATGTACGAAATTTCACCATAGCTATCCTTTTGGTTGCTCTCAAGCAACGATTACGAAATATTATTTTGTATCTTATTGAGAAATGTTGCTCTACTGAAAAGGACTTAATTTCTAAGAGCTGTATAATTCTTCAAACATATTCATGTAACAAAAAAGCATCCGTATACA